GTTTCTCAAAATTGTGTGAAATTACACTTGGATGAATGATTGGAATAATATAATTTGTCAGACTCTACGTATCACAGTGTCTTTTATAGCTAATATCATTTTGGATGCTTTCTTTTTGTGTACAAGTTGATATGTACCCGTCTTTGTGAACATTTGACATTATTCTCGGACAACTCTAATCTTCCTCTTATCGATTAATTTTGAATTGAACGTAGTTTTTAGAACTATTGTAAGCGTTTATGCTCATGTGAACCTTGTCATTTATATGGTATGTGGATGTTCATAGATTGTAATTGGACTGCCAATAAAGCGAAGGTGGAATTGTTTTACAATGGAAAATAGTTGAAGTTTCATATTCGCGAAATGATGACTTATTTCACTATTGAAGTTGATCGTTATACAAGCATAAAATGTACTTGCGCGAAATAGTTTAGTAGACTACTATAACATGAATATGCTCCCAAAGTTAGTCTTCGATAAAATGAAAAATATTACCATTCATCCCATATATTCGTATATTTTCATTTTCAATTAGTAAATAAGTACATACGTGTGAAGGCCTGGTCAAAAGCCTCTAATTGCTTTTTGACTTTTTCACAAGTGAATAATTCCAAAGTGGCCTATTTGAGTTCAAAAGATTAAAAAGCCCTTAAGTGAATAAAACAATTACAAAAATGATTTGATTAAAAAGACAATATTATCATTTTAGTTAATAAATAAAAAAAAATTTCCTAATTATCAATTTAAAATTATTTATTTCATTTTTTATACAAAAATCAAAACAAAAGGAAATTTTTAAATTAAGTAAACAATATATATTTATTTAATTATATTTGTAAAATAAAAGATTTGTTTACAAATTATATTGAATTAAATAATTTTNATCAAAATTGAAACAAAAGGATTTTTTTTTAAATTACGTAAACAATCTATATTTATTTAATTACATTTGAAAAATAAAAGATTAGTTTACAAATTATATTTAATTAAAGAATTTTAAATTAATTAAAATATTGAAAGGGAAAAAAATAAGAATTTGCTGACACTTTAAAAAATAATATTTTATTTTCGTAATTATCAATTTAAAATTATTTATTTCATTTTTTACATAAAAATTAGAATAAAAGGAAATTTTTAAACTTAAAGAATACAAATATTATTTAATTACACAATAATCATAAAAACAAAAAAATGTGGGCCAGTTGGCTGGCCTATGTACCAACCCAATAGCTGGTTTAATAATAAAAAAGGTGGTCCAGCTATTAAAGGTGGGCCGGCTGTTAGCCGGATTAATAATAAAAAAAGGAGGGTTGGTTTTTTTGTGAAGAGGGAGAGAGTGGGGATGTTTTTGATTTTCACTTGTCCAAATTTATACTTTAATTTTTTTTTTTAAACATATTTACTGGTCAAAGGTCAAATAGGAATTATGGTATTTTCTTTGAGCCATTTGCAGGTATTTCCTCTATTTAAGAAGTGTTTGTAAATAGTTTAAATTATAAATAAATAAAAATATGTGATGGATAAGGTTCACAGAATAGTATAGATGGATTATGTGGGGATAAACAGTGAACGATGGTTTATAAATGTGAGCCAAAGATTGAGCATTTCCTAATTAAATGGGCTTCCGTGAGATCGACCTATTTTCACTGAAAACGATTACTATGCTCATCTGATTCACCACCGTATTACCAGCCAACTCCATCAGATACGGTGCTTGCCCCTCCCACCGTGGTGGTGCATCCACTTTACGTTCAATCCCTTTTCATTGCCTACCTAACGGCTATGCTCCCTCACTCTATCCCCAGTCTTCCCATGATCAGCTACGCATGCTTCGCGAAATCTATACTCTCTTCCGGCCCCCTACCTCGTTGAATAACATGGTAGGCACGCAAAGGGAGAATCAGAAGCAATCATATTTTATGTGTATTTGAACTAAGGTCGAGTTGATATTTTTATTTATAATTTAGTAAGAAATTGAATTGCGAAACTAAGAAAGGGGTGTCTAGTTAAACTAGACTCAACACTTTTCAATACTTCTGTAAGTTCTCAACAATGACTTGTAAGGAATAAAGGTGTGGTTTCCAGGATCAAATGAAATGAGTTTTACATAAATATTTTGTCAAAGTTGTTGATGAACCGTCTGTAACAATCAGGTACGGACCCCTGATTATTCTTCAGGGGGGCGAGACATAATAACTAAAAAATAATTTTAAACAATAAAGATAATATTAAAAATGTAAATCCTTTTATACAATTGTTCCTTACGACTTCTTATACTTTGAAAACCCCGTATAATAGTCTCGTTAGTAATTTCATTAAATACATCTTTTTCAACGTACACAACTAAACTA